AAGAAAGATTTGACACAAGAGATGGAGGAGAGGACACTCATGGGTTCAATTGCAGATTTTTCACATCTCCATCGGAAACCTTTTCTGTGTCTTTATGGGCCGATGCACCTGGATAGCGGCACCTTTTAGACAGCACTTAAAGAGGGCTGCTTTGGTCATTGATTTATCTGGGCTTTACAGCCGCAGTCCATAGCTCTGTAGGGAAACACACACAGGTGCTACCTCCAATATCAGCCACAAATCTGTAATCGTTTGCTTTTGCTCTGCAGTCACATTTGAGCGACTGCTAAGCCAAGTCGCCAAGTCGCTTCTGTGCCTGTCAGACAGTACATTGTATGCTGATGATCCAAAAATACTGCATTATTGACTGAATGTTTTCATGTTTAATCTATTGTCCACTTAAATTAGAGCTTCTGAATATAGAACCTGTATTAAAATTTGCACTGGACTTCAAGCCTGGATGTCTGCGCTTCAATCACATTTTAATTTTTTGATATCAAATCCATTGTCCAAATACTTACAGGCCTAAATGTAAGATACTGTAAAGCCTTTGTATGTTGAGCATTGTGTTAGCAACTCTTTAACAGTAACATCTCAGCACATAGACACTGTGACAACATGTTAACATCACTTAACAACTGGAACTCACATCTGTGCCCATTTCTCATCTACAGTACTATAGATTAAGAAGCTAATCATGTTTTTCACCCTTTTGCTTTAAAGTGTTCATGACATTCTATTCTATAACCTGTCTACAGGCACTAGTGTTTTTTAATATTATTAATGTACAAATTTTAGTGCTCCTTTAAGTGAATAGTGCCTTTGAGCGTCAGTCTATTAACTCCAGCCACCTTATTTCAACAGCTCTGGGCCAACAATACCTCATGATGTGACAGGAATAGACGGCAACAGTCAAATTCATTCACTTCTTTTTCTTTCCATCTCCAGACACAGGTTTAATGGCCGCTGATGTCTGGGTCACATAATTAGCTGAATAGCTAAAGAGCACAAAGCTCTGAGCTACTGGATGTTGGGGTGGGGAGACGGGGGTGTCAATGAAATATGCATTTGGAAGTCATAAAAGCAAGTTCTTTTCTATTTCTGCGGCAACAAAGAGCCTGAGCAGCATGACCGGTCAAAAAAAGCAGAAAGATTACGACGTTGGATCTGACCGATTTCTCTGACTGCCAAACCCTGAGCTGGACTGCAAAAGCTCAAAATTGTAGTCTTTAGCAGTAAGGTCCCAGTAAACACCATGTCATTTCCAAATTGCAGTGCTCATGGAAATTATAAAGATCCTTTATTTGCATTTTTAAAAAGTACCCTTTCTCGTCTATTAGATTTGGTTTTGATAATCAGGTATTCCTGTGCAATGAAGCACCAAATAATATTAACCTTCAGCTTTAGTCTGTCTTAAATCTTAAACATTTTTGTCAAGACCAGCAATTAACAAAACACAAATCCATAATACAGCGCCTGCTGATGAATTATAAGTGTGGAAACAGCTATGGAGAGCCAAAAACAACAAAAAACTGAAAATGAGCACGTTCCATCAAGGAAAGCTGTCGCCTGTCAATATAGAGCAGAGGGAGAGCACTGAAACCTATAAGTACATTTAAATACAGCAAATGATTTAGTTTACTTTTATAAGTGGACAGATAACCGGTGAATAGGTAAAAAATGGTGCAACTTAACTGGTTTGG